TTAGTGGCTAGGAACACCCTAACATCACACCCCACACAGCACATCCAAAAAACTGAAAAGATTATTCATGTTCATATTTGGTCACTTTATTCAATGACATGATTATTTTTCAAAATAACAGCAACAAACTGCCCACGGCACTAAAATAAAATTGAGATGCATGATGGTATAGGACATTAGTACTATAACTGAGATAAACATATCTTAAAACATAAATTTTCATATTATTCAAAATAAATTATTAAATATCGTCATATTTAAAGCTAAATAGCTTTTCAAATAATTTCAAATAATTTCTTTGCATATATTATTGTGTAAGATTTGAAAAATCTCAAGTATTTTTCTTTTTTAATTTCCGCTAAACATTTTGAGTATGATATGTACTATGGATACTTGAATTGCGCAAGGGTTGTATAGTCCAAATAAAGAGAATTGGGCACAATACATGCACAGAAAGTGATGCACACTGCAATCTTATTTAAATCGTGAATTCCGCAAAGACTCAAAATTCAATTAGTTGGTAGGCACGCTTCGAAGGCGGCGTATGGTTCTGTCTCATTTCAAGTCACATGATAATTTGATGTAATAAGGCAATATAACGACGCACTGCAAATCAGAGTACGCATATTGCCTGTTACAGTAGTACTATTGTTTTTTTGTTTGTTTTTTGTGTTTTTTTATAACGTCGTTCAAAAAAAATAATGAACAATTGATAAAATCGTAGTTGAGCTGATTCAGCTACAGTTACTGAACAACTCAATACATTCCTTTGACACTATGAGTAATCATAATACAAGCACAGTACACAGTGGTACATGTTGGTTTTCGTTTTAATAAACGGGTGTAGCACACTACACTGTCTGTTATGTGTCCAAATATCATTGTAATTCCGTATAATGATTAACTTTGTTTTGATATGTCGATACTTCCAGCTGTGCGTGACGCGGGAATGTGGTCCTAAAATAGATTACATCTCTCGGGGCTATATTGATTATTGAATGAGAAGAGCGAAGCTACGCATGCGTAGATGCTCATCATAGTGGTGTAGGGTTTTTCCTCTTAGAGAAACATTGTGGTTAAATCATACATGGCCGAAATATTGTTGAAGCATTAGGAGGGGAATAATTTTCGGTAAAATTTGCTACAAAAATAATCATCGTTGATTTCCTCATGTGAATTCACTCGTGATCGGCACGCGGGACGACATCGTTTAGAATTCCCTTCGCGTTTATTTCCGATCGATAAAATTTGAAAAATGCAAGACTAATTCGTTGATAACCTCGTACGAAATGGTTCATAACCATGTAAACAGAAAGTAATGAACATGATATGCGTTATCTATACCAGACCGCAAATGTTTCAGTGAGAGATACGTATTCACATTCTCGGGCCACATTCCACACATCATCGAGACATGCTTGTTAGCATCACGGTTAATAAAATATGACAAGTTGAGATTTTGTAAAAGTAAATTGTTTGCTACACGAATGAACGTCTTATCCTCGTTCACGGACTATATGTCAACTTCAATAGAACTTTTGAGTCTTTGCGGTCACATGATCACCCACTAAAGATTTGTATGAGAATGAATGACAACATTCAAATATATAAAAAGGAAAGAAATACATTATGTCTATTGCTCGGCTGAACAAAGTACACCATCTGAAGAATTCAATGAATGTAAATTCGGAGAATTAACGAAATCCTCTTGAGTAACATAACTATATGTGAAGTATTAGACTAATTATAGCATGGTAATAGAAACGATTTCCCACGCAATGACGGTATCTACTATCATGCAAGGATGGTGACCATAACAATGTAATTCTCCCAACATTATAACGATAGTATCAACACGACCGCGTAATGAGAATATATTTCTTAAATATAAAGAATAATTCCTTTATTTCATTACTATGTACATTGGGCGGGAATCGTCACCCAGTCGATGTTAATACAATATCAAAGAATCCTAGATCCCTTGAATATAGGCATAAAATTAAATATAATGAAAATAATCTGTGTAATTCATAAGAAATTGAGGCAGTTACAAGAATTTACGATGACGCTGCACGTGGGTGAGCTGGTGATCCAATATCTCGTCGGAGTGCTTCTAATTCGGGAATAGGCTTGTATGCTTGTTGCACTGTGATGAGCTACGGATCAATAAAAAAAACGTCATTACATAATGAAATATACAACAAAAGATGTTCTATATTGAAATGTGTTTTCAGAATGTTGTATATAACGCCCAAATAATAGAAAACCTACTTGTCTAATGTTACCATGACAACTTATATTGCATTCTCCTCTTGGTTGTCAACGCGTCGTGTACATAAAAGATGATTCCCGCGTTTAAATTATTAATGATATGAGACATATTTAATGTATAAATCCTATTAAATCGTGATTTGTGTACTCACCTTTTGTGGTTTGCTGGAGTCCACATTCTGCCAGGGCCAGGGATTACCAGATTTGTTAACACTGCAAAGAACAAACAAAATAACACATTAGGATTAAATTAACTTCACCAATGTGACCGTGCTGTGTTCGTTTTACATCCTGTAGATTGAACTGGTCATTACCTCACAAATCCAATCTGTAGATCAACAGAACAATTACTTTTGGCTTTCTAAACGATCCTAATATATTTCCATGGCAACACAGGACTTAATGCATATATTATTGACTTTCAGCATCAAATTGCAAACTTCACTGAAGATGTCCTTCGTCGACTTATATATTGTCCTCTGGGATGAACCAATAATCTCACGGTCTGTACAATTTCCCTTAGTGAGCACATATTTTTTTACCAATCTTTCTCCTCAGATGTTTTTTTTTTTTTTTTTTTTTTAGTTCTGACACTCCGTCTTTTAGGCAAATATATTTAGAATAATTGGTACTTACACAACATCTGACTTCGTGAATACTGCATATGTAATGTAACTTCCAGCCATTACGCAAACACCGCCCACCATGGCAACAAGGGGAGTCAGCTGCAAAAAAAAGATACAAAAACCGTGAATATTCACTGCATGAAGTTAAATTGTAACAAATCTCTAAAGCATAATTTCATAAAACATTATAATTATATATTCATTACTAAGGCAACGGGTTGTTGGGCTAATTTCAGTAGTTCGGTGTGTATATAATTCGTTGTGAGCGCGAGGCGATGTTTTGAATGGCGTCTTTCAGATTACTCACTATGTGACACGACCTCTGTACAAGAATATATATGCAATACTAGTACTTAACTCTCTGAGAAACGTGGGAGGCAGGAAATTAGAACTATTGTCAAGTATAAATTATGATATTTTTGTTGAACTGTAAAGATCATCAAGGAAAATAGTGGCTTGTGAAAATAGCGGATATTGGTACATTGTACGTGAAAATGTTTCTAGAGTTTCCTGAGTGAAATAACAACAGTATGTCACCATTGGGTACACTTCAGTCTACTGTTGATACCAACAAATAATACAGTCATATTGATCCAAGAAATCAATATATTTTGATTATAGTTTGAATCAAATGTGTGGTATGGATTTTGGGAAAGTCAATTGTATTTCATGAACTTTCGTAAATGTTATCTTAAGGCGCTGATTTTTCACTTATTGTTCTTGAAATAACATTTCAGGCTTCAGTTTGGTACGTCTTGAGTTATATTGTATTACAAAACAAACCACAAACTCAATTGTTTTTATCGACTAGTCTTGCTTGACTTGGTAACAATAGTACAAAGGTAGGATATGTTTATGTTCCGTAACGCGAAGCGATAGATCGCCTTGTGTGAACAAGTCGTGCCGTTTTGACATCCCACCATACGGGGGCATTCGGGTCATCAAATCGATAAAGTGAGGCACAATAAATGTGAACATTATCCAAAAACAAACACACAAAGATTGTATTGCTGACTATACTTTAAACAATGGTCTCTGTATCGGTCATAATCGGCTAAATTGAGCACCAAGCCCTGGGAAATTAGATGGAATTACACGTGGAATATTGCCAAGTGATTTATCTTACTTGCAACCCAGTGGCGTTTTGTTCACAACTATTGGTACATTAAACATTGGCAATGCCAATAAATGTAATATCGACGTGCGTATTTTACATGAAATCATATTAGCCGAGCATGAGATAATAATATAAATAAATTGGTCTATAGTAACAAGAACCACGACCCCCTATCATAATAGAGATAGACAGACAACTGCATACTGCGCAGCATAGCAACAGAGTTTGTGTCATTGTAGTTTGGAACAGCCTGTCTCTCGTTAGCAACCTAGTATCCAGGTGTCTACGTGCCGTATTAGGCGTAGTAGGTAACGTTGAATTCTTGTGTTCAAATTACGTTAAATACATAGTCATAATATGTGTCCTATATATTCAGCCCATTCACCTATAAACCGACTCATGGCAACCTATATTATTTTCCTTATATAGCCATTGCATAGATTGCGACGTGGTTGCTAATAATACTTTTAAATTAAATTAAATTATTTTTGTCGCCTTATATATCAACCGGTTAAATCGGGTTCTCGTATTGAGACACACGTGCACACACGATGACAGAGAAATAAATAGGGTTGTAATCCCACTTTACAAAGTGATCATTACAAAAAGTGTTATTACCGACCTTCGACAGCAATGTTATATATCTGTCTGTTTAATGACTGACAACGCCAGTTGCGCAAGACTTGGCACTTACCAGTGTCTGTAAGTTGTAAGTAAATCTAGAACCGACACGAACAAGATTCGGTTGTACATAGACATTAAACGTGTTGCCAATTATTTTATTGTCGTCTGCTACTGTGCCCTAGTCTGGTTTTGGTGCTAAGTGACTGTTACGGTTTACGCACTCAGAGCGTACTTAGTAAATCCATCGATATCGAGGCTTTGTAAAATCTTGTTTGTATCGATCGTGTCATCGTTAACAGCATACCTTGTACGATAATCTTGTTGTCAGTTTGTAATTAGAGACATATTCTATTCGTATCAACATTCTAAGTACAATTTATAGATTGCGACAAATCGATTCAATTATTTATTTAGAGGACTGAATGTAATTAATTAATTAATAACCTATCCACAGTTACTACTGTGACGACGACAATGAGGTCACTTTGAGGTCAGGTTTTAATCACGTATCACAATGTACGCCAATAAGGCACTTACTGTGTCATATCTCAAACAAATTACTAGTAGCTGTCTGAGGTCCGATACCTAGAAACCATTTATCACAAGAAATGACAAGAGCAGACCGGTGACCCATTAGGATGTCAACGCATTAACAATTTAAAGTGGTGTAAGGAACACCAGTCGCAGCAATCAAAACAAAATAACTGGCGTTTCAAAGAATCCATTCCTATTTAGTATTTGATTACAGTATAGTAACCTATATAAGTGCTATTCACATACGTGGTCACGTGACGGACACACATGTATTTTTAGCGTTGAACTATTATTTATTATTATTTGCTTCGATATAATATGTGACGTCATTGCCCCTGTATTGACACATGGCGGTGTATTTATGGTAGCAATGGATACCGTGTTTGGTGTACGCCCACGATAAGTCGGGGATCAAGTGTCAGCTATTCTACTAACATTTCAAATTAATGTCTAACAATTGTTTAATGCAGTCATAAGTTCCTGCCTTGTGGGCGCGTTTAGCATTGAACTTGTCTACTATGAGTTATACTGGATATCGATAGTCGCAACATAAATTGAAACCGACGTGAATACAACATTACTACACATTGCCAGCCTGTAGATGACACAGACCGTATAATACACGGTATATTAATATATGATTAGATGGTCACGTGGTATTCGTTGAGTGAGTCTGCAACGACTGTCTGAATTACCAGCCTGAGTGCCAAATATGATAGTACTCCTCGAATAACTATCGGACAGTCGAATTGTGCTTACGTGTGAAAATGTAAAATTTAGTATTAAATCATACGCCGATGAGCGTAGTTATTTTTTATCACAAATCCGCCATTTTCCATACCCCCAGTGACACGTGCATATCTCATAGTAGAAATACTCGAAATTAATCACCAATTTAGTTTCCTATCAAATCATTCATCGTCACGGTGTATATAATGTTTTTAACATAACAAAATAATCCGCGGACGGATATAATATTTCCGGCATATGTTACGTCCACAGCTGGCGTTTATGTCGACTGTAAATTTCAAAATAAGGTTACCGGTTTTGCTCGCGGTTTGCGTGCATGACGTCAGCGCCGG